CAGCGGCCGCCTCTGGCAGCCCAGCCGGGCCGCCCAGGGCCGCAGCAGCGGAGGCAGGATGGCGCTGAAACGCATCCAGAAGGTAAGGAGCCCTCCCACCCTCCGACTCTTTGGGCGTCGGGACGCGGGCAGGGCGCCTCAGCCGCGAAGTGGAGGGCGCCAAGAGGCCACAGGACACAGCGACACCAGCCAGGGAGGGAGGGATGGAGGCGTTCCTCCTTAAAAGGGATCAGCGCGAGCGCAGGGCGGGGCCGGGGTCACGTGGGGCTTGCCTCAGGCGGGCGGCGCCGGTCCCTTGAGGAAGGAAGGCTCGCTCTTGGGGTATCCAGAAGGGCTGGACAGAGGGGTGGAGGCTGGAGCTGGACTTGAAGGATGAGTAGGAATTCGGCAGTTAAAGATTAGGTGGAGAAGGCCAGCCCGGTGGCGCACTGGAGAGTGCGCCGCTTGGGAGTGCGGCGGCGCTCCCCCCCTCGAGGGTTCGGATCCCATGTGGAGACCGGTTCCCGCTCACTGGCTGAGCGCGGTGCGGGCGCAACACCGAGGGTTGCGATCCCGTTACCGGTCAGTAAAAAAGACAAAAAGGAAAAAAAAAAAAGATTAGATGGAGAAGGGGGAAAAGGGCCTTCCCGGCAGCGGGGAGACCAGGAGGCTCGGCTGGGGAAACAGTGGTGGGACTGGGATGGGTCTCAGGGGCAGTGCTGGAATAACTGGATTTATTCTGTAGGTAACAGCGAGGCCTTATAGAGGTTTCATGCATTAAGTAGAATTTGGAAAATCCACAACAGTAGGAAGAAAAAGTAGTTCCAATTCTGCCACATTATCATTTGTTAACATTTTAGCATACCTACTTACAGTATTTTTTCCTGTACTTTAAAAAATGATGATTATGGGGCCGGCCCACTGAGGGTTCGGATCCCACATACAGACCGGTTCCGCTCACTGGCTGAGCGAGGTGCGGGTGCAACACTGAGGGTTGCGATCCGTTGCCGGACACGAAAAAAGACAAAAAAAAAGGAAAAAAAAAATGATTATACTGTATGTCGTATCCACTTTTTCACACAGCATTAAACATAAGTATTTCCCATATTGTAAAATAGTATTTATAACCGTGATTTTTTAACATTAACATCCACAAGTACATGACCAGTAACTTTTTTTTTTTTTTTTAAAGATGACCGGTAAGGGGATCTTAACCCTTGACTTGGTGTTGTCAGCACCACGCTCTCCCAAGTGAGCTAACCGACCATCCCTATATAGGATCCGAACCCTGTGGCCCTGGTGTTCTCAGCACCACACTCTCCCAAGTGAGCCACGGGCTGGCCCATGACCAGTAACTTTAATCATTATTTGTAGTTCGTGAAAGCATGGACTTGGGTGTCAGACGGACCTGGATTAGAGAATGTGAAGTCACTTACATTTGACCTCGGGCAAGGCACTTAGCCTCCCTGTCCTACATGTTTGTAGAGTTGTTTTGAGAATTAAATGAGATGGTATATGTTTAGCACATGCTGGACATATACCAAGCACTCAATATGAGTTCACTGACGTTGTTATTATAACAAGTGCTTCTTTAAGTAAATAATGCTCTGATGAACATCATTGTGCAATGAGCCTTTTCCTTAATTCAGATTACTAGGTTTGATTGCCAGAGGTGGAATTACAGAATCTGTAAGAGTATGACTCATTTTTTATAAATAGCTTTCTAAAAGTGAGATAATTTTGATGAATCATTCTCTAAAAGGGGTCTTCTGTCATCCTAGGGCACTGAAATAGGTGAATGGCATGCTGAGATCTGTGTTATAAGAAGATCCTTCTGGCTGAAATATAGCCTTTAGTGAGGCAGAGGGAGAGCTGAGGCTATTGTGAAAGTCCAGCAAAGGCTTTGCCCGAGTTAATGAACATGGAATGGATACCTGGGAGGAGCAGTGCTTGGAGGATGACAGAGGTGGAACTAACAGTACTTGAGGAGAGGATGTGGTGAAAGTGAGACGGGGAGGTACACAGATGGGTCACTGGGGGAATGGTGCTGTGATTGCCTAGGATGGGGAATCAAAAGTTTTGAAGGCAGGGAGCTGGGTGGGGAGTGTATGTTTGAACCTACATGTTTGAACATGTGGGCTGATGAGATTTATGAAGACTTGGAGAAACAAGTTTGGTCCCTGAGGATGAGATGGCAACTGTACATCCAAGGTGACTGAAGTCATAAGCCCAGGGAGAACCTTACTTCAAAGAATCAAGGATAGGAAGAAACCAGGGCTGGCATCATGGGAGTGTGGCATGTTGAGTCTCACAGAACCCCGTGTTTAGAAGGGCCCAACCTTTGGTTTTATGCTCTGCAGTTACATCATGAAATTCTTAATGATTATTGAACAAGAAACCCCACGTTTTCATTTTGCATGGGCCCTGCAAATTATGTATCAAGTCCTGGAAAAAACAATAGAATTGTGGAAATACTAACTTTAAAAGTATGTCAAGCCTAGAATGGCACCACCTGCCCTCAAGTTAGTGAGGCTGGGTCACTTTTTCTTGCTGGGATATGTGCAAAGAAATTTTGTATCATGGGCCTTTGCAGAATATCAGTGGCTTGGAAGAAAACTCCAGAGACCATAGTGGAGAACTCTAAGAACTGCTGCATCACCATAATCTTGGAAGGCACAGAAGATGATATTATGTGGACTTCAATCACTGGTGTTGGACTGTGAATGAGAAGAAGTTCTAGGAATACCTGAACAAATCAACTTATTTAGTTTCACATGTTTTTTCTTTCTTTTTTTTTTTTTTTTTCTTTTTGTATGCTTGAGTGATACTTGATTGGGTCTAAGGAAGCCTGGAAGATGTCTTTCAATAAAAATATCTTTTAAAAAAATGTTCAGTTATTGTTGTGAGGCACCCTCCCACAAGAAATGCACTTACACGCCACTCTTGCAGAAAAGGGCAGTTTATTCACTCCAGCTGGCCAGCATCCGTCTCCCAAGGAGCAACCAAGGAAGAGCAGCATTGGGCTTTGGTCTTATGGGGTTTTTAAGGCAAAAACTACATCCCGTTGGCACACAGGTTTGTCCAGGTGCACAAAGCAAGCTAGGGAGCTAGGTCACAGAGGCTGAGAATGAGCTGTTTGAGCAATCAAGCATACAAGTTTTCATTGTGTATGGTTCCTGTTCCCATGTAATAATTAACTGTGTATGGCTCCTGTTTCTATGCAATTTTTTTTTGTTTCTATGAGAAGGTCAACAGTTTCTCATGTTTGGGGGGGGAGTCTGCAGGTCAGAGGGGGTAAAATGGAATTACTTAGGTTAAGCAAGCAACTCTACAGAAGCAGATAGCATATGTTATGAGTGTGTAGGGAGCTCTATTTCATTATCACTTTTATCTGTTAGATATTTCCTTAAGTGAACATTGTTGCAGTTTTCTTAACCGTTTTCCTATTAGTTGGTACTTTCTAATATGTTTTTTTTTTGCTATAATAGGAAATATTCTAATGATAAGTTTTATGCTTATAAATATTAAGCCTTATTTAGCTTATTTGTTTCCTTAGAAGAAAATCCCAGAAATGACATTACAAGTCAAGTATTTTTTTCCATGACACTTGTTTTTCAAGAGTTTCCTCAACTTAAGGTGCCATCAGGAATGCTCAAGTATAATATTTTTACTATAAACTTTCCAGAATTTTGCAGTATAATTACATGATTTTGTTTATTTGATAGATGGGTAATATTATCTTCCTTTTTTTTTTTTTTTTAAAGATGACCGGTAAGGGGATCTTAACCCTTGACTTGGTGTTGTCAGCACCACACTCACCCAGTGAGCAAACTGGCCATCCCTATATGGGATCCGAACCCGTGGCCCTGGTGCTATCAGCACCGCACTCTCCCGAGTGAGCCACGGGCCGGCCCTTATCTTCCTCTTTCAGTTTGCATTTCTGGTGCAGGAAAAACATTTTTCGTGTTTGTTTATTAATTGTTTTCCTTTTATATTCATTATCTTTTCATGTCATTGGCTCATTTACCATTGAAGTCAACATAATTTTTTTACCTGCTTAAATAATGTAGGTTATAATCACTTCACTACAAAAAAAATTTTTTTTGATAAAAGTTTAGTTGTAAAGAAAGCATTTGGTGTTAGTTTTAATTGCCAGCATGTTCTCGTTTTTAGTAGTACATAAAATAAAATCGTGTCTTACAATGCATGGTATCTTGGATTTGAGGAAACACAGTAAAAGAATTGAGTGTTTACCGTGGTTTGCTTAACTCTTTTTCTCTAGCAATACTTAATACTTTAACTTTCTTTCTCTTTTGTGGGACTCTTCACTTCTATCATTATTGTATTTTTTCCTTTTTTCTTTTTTTTTGGCTTCTTGCCTGCACAGGGATCTGAACTTGTGACCTTGGTGTTAGAAGGCTGCACTCTAACCGAGCTAACCAGCCAGCCCCTATTATTGTTGTTTGTAACAATAATTATTACACAGCCTTAAATTGTATAGTCTTTTACAATTAATAAAATATTTATTGATTAGGTAATAAATTCCCATGGTTCCAAATTCAAAAGATACAAAAGGGTATACAGGGAAAAGTCTCCCACTCACTCCTGTTCCCAGCTATCCAGTTCCCCTCCCCAGGGGCAACCAGTGTTATTAGTTTAAGTATTCTTCCAGAAATATATATATACACATATATTTTTTTCTACCCATTCTTTTTCCCCTTCTTATAATACTAATGGTAGCATCCTCTATATGCTGTTGTCCTTGATCTTTACTGGGTGCTCTTTTTTTTTTTTTTTTTTTTTTTTTCGTTAAAAAATTTGTAGCCATATAATAATGCTGGCAAGTTGGCAGGCAATTATAATTATAACCTAACAGATACTGAGTCCCAAAGAGAGGTAAAAGTGATTTTCCCAGTGATGGAGCTGGTACTCAGACGTGAGTCTTCTAGCCTTATTAGATGAGCACAGGAATGTGCTATATGAATAGACAAGGTTCTTTGGAGTCACACCGTTCTTCCTTGAAATTCCACTTAACATTCAAAACTCCCTGGTGCTGGTTGGTGTCTATCCGCTTCTGGTCTTTCAGGATCGTTAAGTCCCAGTAAGTTTTCATCACGCCCCCAAAGAAGGGATGCAGATTCTGGGTACAGCCCATGCAGAAGTGTGGAGGTGTGGAACCTCATTAGCTAGAGGGGCATTGGCCTGTACTGCTGGCTTTTCCTGCCCCTGACTGTTCTGTGGTCTCTCCAGGATTTGCCTTAACAGTCCTATCAGAGAGCTCATTCATTCATGCAGCGTCATAATGGATAGGAACAATTCCCCTGCAGAGTGATAGTGGAGGTGCTGAGAGGCACAGAGCAGAGAGGTAAGCAAAACGGAACTCTTCTGCAAGGGTTTCTAAGCTCTATTGTATTTCTCTAGAGTGTCCCCCGGCCCCCTCACACTACCTTAGTTGTTTCCCAAGTTCACTTCTACTGTGACAACTAGTAACGCTGCTTACTGAGTGCTCACCAAGTACAATACAGTCATTTTACTTGTGAGGAAATGAGTTCAGATATATCAGACACTAATTGAGAACTGGCCAGTGGTGTACTGGTAGATGTTTAAAAATCAATTCCAGGGGAGAAAATGTGGCCCTGATTTGTAGCATTTGCTGATTTCTGTGGTGTGTCCACTCCCATTGCGGCAGATTAAATCTGGGGGGAAGTGGGGTAAGTACAAGATGGCAAGAGAGGGAGAAGGTTACTAGAATGGTCAGCGTCCCAGAGACACAAGTTGGGAGCAGGAGGGTCTGGGTGGAGGAGGTGGTGTTAGACTGGTTCATGTGAGGAGGAACATCACCAGCCAGGTGTGAACTTTGAGTTTCCCTGCCACGTGATGCACCACCATTGTGCCTCCTTCCTTCCTTTTAGAACCTCTGTGGAAACCCCAAGAAATTTACCCAGATCTGGAACCTGGGGAGGGTAGGGAATATTAAGAAGCATTCTCATACATGCAAACTAAAGTTTGAGAGTCACTGCCTAAAGTCTTGGGCCTTGAGGCTCATGCTGGGCCAGGATCTCTTTTTAGGGCTTGTGGCTAGAGTTAGTGTCCCATAAAGGGAATCTAGTTATGGTGTAATTAATTCCTGGTCCCATGGCACATTGGGCAGCATTGTCAGACTTTGTCTCGCGTGCCCTTACTCTCCACATTCAGAGCCCTAGGACTTGCCAGACACCCAGTGATGGGTCGGGCATTTGGGATGGGGTTGGGGGTGGAGGGGCTGGATAGAGTTAGAGAGATTGAAATATCAGGGTCCTGTTTTTAACTGAGTACTTCCTGTGTGCTAAGTGCTTCCATGCATTAATTTATTAGCCCACAGCTAAAACCTGGCTCCTGCCCTTCTCCCAGAACACTCTCCTGGGGCTCTTTTTCTTCCATATCCTGAGTACCTAGGAGGGAACGTCCTCCACCTGAGTAGGTAGGAGGCTAGGTTTGGGGGTAAGGCAGATCTACATGTGACTGACTGCTTGCCCTGCCCTCGTCCAGCTCTGTAATCTTGGTTAGGTAACTTCACCTCTTTACATTTCAATTTCCTAATTTATAAAATAGGAATGATAATACCTACTTCTCTGATGTCTTCACAGCTGGGAGTAGACCCCATGACCTGCCTTGTCTACCACCCCTCCTGAGTCCTAGGAGCCATCCCACTGGGAGAATTCATTTTGGCCAAGGAATACACATTTTGGTGTGTAGAGGCAGCACCCCCAGGCACACACCAGTTCTAACCCACTGTCTCATGTTTTAGGAACTAACCGACTTGCAGAGGGATCCTCCTGTCCAGTGTTCTGCAGGACCTGTGGGTGATGATCGTAAGTACTTTTCAGGGCTTTAGATTGCAGAAGCCTTGCGATTAAGACTCCCCAAATTATCAGCCAAGCAGTTGTTAAGAAAACCAGTTAGTTGCTTTTCCTTCATTTGCTCGTGAATTGCTTTTTCACTGGAGGCTGTGGCAGCGTGGCTGGTCAGGTTACAGTCACAATGGAACCTGCACTGCCAGAAGTCACCACCTCCCTCCACAGGGCTGTGAGAACGCCAGCATGTCCCAAGTCACATCGTGTCTGGAAAGTGCCTCTGATGGAGTTACACTTGGGCTTCGGTGTAAATACTGTCACAAAGCTGGTCATGGAAGAGCTGGTGCTGCTGCTGGACCTGGGAGTGGGGCAGGAGGCTGATGAGGGGCAGAGTGGCCACTACTTGCCTCTGCCAAGGGAAAGACAGTACCTGTTCCTTTCTCCCATGTCTGCCTTTCCCCAGAGGGAGGCTGAAGAAGCAGCTCTGGGTAACTGCTCAGGAGAAGGTCTAGAGGGAGCAGCAGCCCTGGCCAGCCCTCGGCTGCCCTCACAGCCAACTGGCCGGGGACTGAGCCACCCAGCGCTGGGTTTCCAGGGCTGCACTCTGCTCACCCACCTCGCCTCCTCTCTCTAGGCGTCATGGGCTCTGAGACACCCATTCTTCACTGTGAGTGTACAGTTGCCGCAGCTGTGGGACACATAGGTGGGGAAGGAAGACAGCATGTGTTAAAGAAGGCTGGTGTCATGGGTACATATATGAAAAAATCGAAAGCAGGAACTCAAACAGAACCTGTACTCCAGTGTTCACAGCACTGTTATTCACAATAATCAGAAGGTGGTAGCAACCCATGTGCTCATCAATGGATGCATGGATGAACAAAATGTGGTTCTGACTACAGCATGGAAGAACCTGGAAGTCATGCTTAGTGGAATAAGCCAGAAAGAAAAGGACAAATACTGTATGATTCCAGTTAAATGAAATATCTAGCCTAGGCAAATTCATAGAGATAGACAGTAGATAAGGGGTTATCAGAGCCAAGGGGAGGTAGGGATGGGGAGGGATTGTTTCACGGGGACAGAATTTCTGTTTTGGTGATGAATAGTTTTTTTTTTTTTTTTTTTTTTTTTTTTTTTT